AGAGAGAGAGAGAGAGAGAGAGAGAAAGAGAGAGAGAGAGAGAGTGAGAAAGAGAGAGATATCACCTGGAACTCCCGACCCTGCTCGCAATCGACGCGAGTGGGTTACGCAGCATGACACGAGACCCCCGTGTGACGATAAACATCAACCCCTCAACCAAAACAAAAGACAGTGTTCAGAGGGCGCCACTTGCCTAGCTTAGACGACCCAACTCCGGCACCCACATGCTCTCTGCACCACCTTCTAGCAGTAAAATATATACATAATAATAAAATTAATAAAATAAATTATACATAAATAAATAACGCGATATACAAAATATACGAAACGATATGATACGTGAGCTATGAAAACGGCAGACGTACCCGCGTAATGCATGAAGTCACTGTACACCATGAAGGAGACGGACATCGGGCCATTCTTAACGAGCTGACGCCTCATTAACGCCTCGTTACACCTGTTGATCCGAAATACATCAACGTTATTAATCGTAACCACGACGAGAACGCAATTAACATGTCTAATTAATTACGCAACGTCTCTCTCTCTATTCTAGTGCTAGTTCGAAAACTAATTCGGCTCGAAAAATTGCTATGGTAACCAAGCAACCGAATCACCACCGCGATGTTCGACATTCGATTTGCGATAAGATGTGCGTGAATATGTGAGAGGAGAGGAGAGGAGGCGGGAAGAAAGTGAGAGGAAGAGGGAAAAGAGGAGGAGAGGAGAGGATGGAGGAGAGGAGGAGAGAGGGGAGGAGGAGAGGAGAGGAGGAGGGAGGTGGGAGAAGAGTGAGGAGAGGAGGCAGGAGGAGAAGAGGCGGGAGGAGAGGAGTGAGGAAAGGAGGGAAGAGAGAAGCCAGACACTGTGGAGCAGGAGGAGAGGAGGATGAAGCAGGAGATGCGGAGAGGAGGAGGTGGAGGACACTCCGTAGAAGCCACCGACGTATTCGTATCGCGTCGCGTAGTGCCGGTAGCATCCGGGGTCGGTGCGACACTGATCGTCCTTCCCCGCGTACGGAGGAGAGGATGAGGGAGAAGAGGATGAGGGAGGAGAGGATGAGGGAGGAGAGGAGGGAGGAGAGGAGGAGGTGGAGGACACTCACGCTCCGTAGAAGCCACCGACGTATTCGTATCGCGTCGCGTAGTGCCGGTAGCATCCGGGGTCGGTGCGACACTGCTCGTCCTTCCCCGCATACGGAGGAGAGGATGAGGGAGGAGAAGAGGGAGGAGAGGAGGGAGGAGAGGAGGAGGTGGAGGACACTCACGCTCCGTAGAAGCCACCGACGTATTCGTATCGAGTCGCGTAGTGCCGGTAGCATCCGGGGTCGGTGCGACACTGCTCGTCCTTCCCCGCGTACGGAGGAGAGGATGAAGGAGGAGAGGAGGGAGGAGAGGAGGAGGTGGAGGACACTCACGCTCCGTAGAAGCCACCGACGTATTCGTATCGAGTCGCGTAGTGCCGGTAGCATCCGGGGTCGGTGCGACACTGCTCGTCCTTCCTTGCGTACGGAGGAGAGGATGAGGGAGAAGAGGATGAGGGAGGAGAGGAGGAGGTGGAGGACACTCACGCTCCGTAGAAGCCACCAACGTATTCGTATCGCGTCGCGTAGTGCCGGTAGCATCCGGGGTCGGTGCGACACTGCTCATCCTTCCCCGCGTACGGAGGAGAGGATGAGGGAG